TTTTTTTCTATTATTATTCTATTTAAAGATTTAGACAACATTCTCTCTTCTCTCAATTAAAAACTACAATACACTTAAATAAGATCAAATACTTGTGTATAACATGTGCATTGCATGTGCATTACACGAGATCATTTTAATATTCCTTTCTCAATATTATATTAAAAAATTGATATACCTTTTTAAATACAACTTAAACTAAGTAATTCAAACATATATATTCTACAATCAAATTTATTAAAAAAATATTTTGAACAAATCATTTAGATTTTGTTGTTAGAAACTGAAAAAGCTCTAAGATTTTGTTTTCAGGAATTGAAAAAACCTTAAACTCATTTACAATATTCTTTTTTTTTTTCAGCCTTCAATGGTTAATATTCTTAAATATTCACTTTTTCTTAAATATGTTTAGTATTCTATGAATTAATATTTTTCATTTCTTAAGCCATTCTCACTTAATTTAATATACATGTAACGAAAAATAACAATAAATATACTGGTTTAATATATATCAAGTATTTGGATAAAAATGTATGTTACTCTCATTTAATAGGAAATTGCTTTGCAATAATAGCTTTAGATATTGTTTTAGTACATATTTATACATTAATTTTTGTTGTTGTTGTTGTTGTTGTTATTATTATTATTATTAAATAGCAATTTCAAAATATGTGCTAAGAAAAATAGAAATAAAGCATATATATAATTCAAAATAAATAAATAAAAAGAATCAAATTTTATTTGACTGATTTTGACATTTATAAAGATCGATAAACTAATATAGACATTTTTCAAATTCTTTCATATTTCTAATTTATTCATCAAAACACTTATTTTGCATTTTCATCATCACATTCTTTTGTACATCTATATTCAAAACAAATAGATATACATACATATTCTATTTTTTTTTAAATATTTTTGATATATAAAACAAAAAAAAAATTCTATATGAAATATAATCAAACAATTCATACAAAAATCTTCCTTGTCAAGCTTTTCTAGATCTCACTTCCTCATGCACATTTTTTTCCAACCAAGGAAAAAAAGTGCTTGAGGTGAAAAAAAAATTAAAAATGATAAAAATAAATAATGAATAAAAGTGTTATAATAGTGCTATAAATTATGATGAATGAAATTGTAATCATATGTTATTATTCTCCATAAAAAATAAACATCTATTCACATTCCTTTGGTTTAATTCATTCATTATATATGTAATGAAAGCTAATAATAGTAAAATAATTAAGAATATTAAGAAGAGAAGAAGATGAGAAAATACAAAGGTAAAACTAATATGATTAATATGTATATTTATTACATTTGAATGTAAAAATACTATATTTTCTTTTTAACTTTTCACAAAATATATTTTTTATAATTAAAATAAAAAAATACAAATTTTAATGCCTAATTAATACTTAAGTGTAGCATTTTATATAATATATAGATATACATATAGATGTAGA